TATATATATTATTTATATATATATATATTATATAATAAATAATTATATAATAAATAATATATATAATATATAAATGTATATTATATTTCTTCTCCCCCTGTGTAAGTCTTCTGTGCAAAGCACAGAAAGGCAACGTGGGCAAAATAAACATAAAAAAGCCCCAAAATGCATGCATGCATGCATGCATGCATGCATGCGTGCATGCATGCAGTGCAAGCATGCAGTGCATGCATGCATAGTGCTGCAGCAGCAGCAGCTGCTGCTGCTGCTGTTGTTAGGAGAAGCATCATAAGCTCGGATGCGCCACCGCCCCACAGGGATGGAGGTAAAAGGTTTAGGGTTTAGGGTTTAGGGTTTAGGGTTTTGTGTTTGTTAGCTGTATTATATATATACAGCTAACAAATAATAAATAATATGTTTTAATATAAACCCTTATTTTAATTTAATTTATATTTTAGTGTTTACGGTGTACGTACACTGCTGATAAGTACAAACCCTAAACCCTAAACCCTAAACCCTTTTTTTTCTTTTTTTCTATAAATAAAACAATAATTAAGAGATAGAAGAGACAGCAGCAGCAGCAGCAAGTGTCTCCTCTTTATATATAATTATTAATAGTATTTTTAACCTAGAGTACAGCCTATCTGCTGCTGTTGCTGCTGCTGTTGCTGCTGCTGCTGCTGCTGCTGGGGTGCGCCTCTGGGCAAAGACACGACTTTGTTTAAAATTTGTGTCTTTTATTTATTTAATTTAATTTATTTATTTAATTTAATTAATTAATTTAATTAAATTTATTTATTTAATTATTTATTTTATTTATTTTATTTATTTTATTTATTTTATTTATTTTATTTATGTTGCTAATAGAAAGAAGATTTATTAATAACTTGTAGTTATTTGTAGCTAGCTGCAGCTAGCTAAATATATTTACAGCTAGTTGCTGCCATAGAAAACTTTCTCTATATATAGTTGCTGCTGTGCAGCAGCAGCAGCTGCTGCTGCTCGTGCAGCAGCAGCAACACTGCTGCTGCTGCTGTGCAGCAGCAGCAGCAAGTGCCGGCTCTGGTAACAGCACATGACGAGTATTTTTGCCATTTTCCCTCTAAGAAAGAAATTATTATTAATTAAATTAATTAATTTATAAAATAAAATAAAAATAAATAAAAATAAATAAAAAATAAATAAAAAATAAATAAAATAGGATGGTGTTGATGGTTGAAGACGAAGACAGGGCCAATGGTTCATTGTTAGGGTTTAGGGTTTAGGGTTTAGGGTTTAGGGTTTGAAGGAGAGGTTAAACTAGAGGGAAAGAGGCAATTAATTGTTTATTTTTTTAGTTATTAATTAAATATAAATAAAAAATAAGTAAATATATTTAATTATATTTTATTGCTATTTAATCATATAAAGAGCAGGAGAAGTGCTGCTGCTGTCGTCAGCAGCAGCAGCACGGAAAAGAGAGCTGCCTAGACACCTGAACAGCAACAGCAGCTGCTGCCACTGTTGCTGCTGTTGCTGCTATTGTTGCAGTATTTTATTACCTAATTTCCTATAATTATAATATTAATTAAAATAATAATAATTATACTATATTGTGTATATATATAATATACATACAATGACGATGGGAACAGCAGCAGCAGCAGCAGCAACAGCTGCAACAACAACAGCAGCAAAAACACCAGCAGCAACAACAGCAGCAACAACAACAACGGCAGCAACAACAACAGCAAAAACAGCAGCAGCAGCAGCAGCAGAAGCAGCAAAGAAAGGAAATAAACTATGGCCATGGCCAATAGTAGATAATAATAATATAGATAAAGAAATATTAATAAAAAAGGGGAAAGAAATAGAGGAAATATGTTTAATAGATATAAAAACGCATGCAATATTAGGTAATAAAAGGAGGTGCCTATACACCCCAAATATACAAGGAGATATAGGTAGAGCAGCAGCAGCAATAATACAGCAGCAAACATTATTTATTGCTATACTTGTAGGCAGCAGCAGCAGCACCAACATGTGGCCCCCTACAGACACAGATGCTGTTGGTGGTGCATGCGCTCTTGCTGCTACTCTATGGAGATTAAATAAATATGTTATTATTGTTACTGGTACCTAAACCCTAAACCCTAAACCCTAAACCCTAAACCCTAAACCCTAAACCCTAAACCCTAAACCCTAAAATGAAAAGTGTGGGTAAAGTGTAGGGAATAAATAATTTATTATGTTATATATAATAAATAAAATAAAAAAATAAAAATAATAATATCTAAACCCTAAACCCTAAACCCTAGTAAACCCTAAACCCTCGTAAACCCTAAACCCTAAACCCTAAACCCTAATTTGTGTACAGATGAAGTAAATGGTCCTCAAGTAGTTCCTGCAATTAAGAGTAGTCTTGTGTGGGCATTAAATGAACAAGAAAAACAAGAAGGAGGAAAGGTAATTATTGTCTCCTTTTTTGTCTCTTTTTTTGTCTCCTTTTTTGTCTCCTTTT